TTTTTTTTTTTACTTTTGAGACTTACCTCAGCCTTTTGGGAAATATCATTCATGTTTGCTCTATGTGATCTTGGGCTGATTACGAAGCTCTGTATATTTTTGCACCTGAAAAAAAATTTTAATATTGTATAATAATTTTATTTTTATTATGTATTTTTATAAATAGAAATAGCAGTTAATTGCCCCTCAAAAAATACTGATATAATCCAAGCAAGTAATCAATTGTGATAACCTTTAGCTCTTTTTCCCAAGATTCATGGTATAGAAAATATAAGGTGTATGATGTTACAAGATCCCTGAAAGTTTTTGATCCCGAATAGCTTGATGAACATATCAAGTTCACTTGAAAAGAATGTGTATTCAGCAATTATTGAGTTTATTAGTCTATAAATACTAAGGTAGTTGATCATGTTTTAGATCTGTATTTTTACTAATTTTTGGCTAGTTCTATCAATCTTCAACTATGTAGATCTATGTAGATTTTTTTTTTTTTAAAGACAGAGTCTCGCTCTGTAGCCCAGGCTGGAGTGCAATGGCACAGTCTCAGCTCACTGAAACCTCCACCTCCCAGGTTCAAGCAATTCTCCTGCCTCAGCCTCCCAAGTAGCTGGGATTACAGGCCTGTGCCACCAAGCTCAGCTAATTTTTGCATTTTTAGTAGAGACAGAGTTTCACCATGTTGGCCAAGCTGGTCTTGAACTTCTGACCTCAAGTGATACACCCAACTCAGCCTCCCAAAGCACTAGGATTACAGGCATGAGCCACTGCACCTGGCCAGAATATTTTTTCTCCCTTTAATTCTGTTATTTTTGTTTTATGTAATTTCAGGTTTAATTGCATACACATTAAGATTATATCTTCTTTTTGAATTGACCCTTTCAGTAGTATGTTTTTTTGTTTTTGTTTTTGAGACAGAGTCTCACTATCACCCCAGGCTGGAGTGCAGTGGTGCAATCTCAGCTCACTGCAACCTCTGCCTCCCAGGTTCAAGCAATTCTCCAGCCTTAGCCTCCTGAATAGCTGGGATTACAGGCAGCACACCAGCAAGCATAGCTAATTTTTTGTGTGTTTTCTGTAAAGACAGGGTTTCACCATGTTGGCCAGGCTGGTCTCGAACTCCTGACCTCAAGCGATCCGCCTGCCTTGGCCTCCCAAAATGCTGGGATTATAGGTGTGAGCCACTGTGCCTGGCCTGCTAGTATGAAATTTCTCTCTTCTTACCTCGTTGTATTAAACTTATATTAAAATAGTCACACCAACTTTCTTTTTATTTATTTATTTAGAGACATTTATCAACAAGAGACAGCATCTTGTTGTGTCTCCTCGGCTGAAGTGCAATGGCACAATGACAGCTCACTGCACTCTTGAACTCCTGGGCTCAAGCAATCCTCCTTCCTCAGTCTTCTAAGTAGCTGGAACTACAGGCATGCACCACCATGCCCAGCTTTTTTTTTTTGCTATAGAGATGGGGTCTCACCATGTTGCTTACACTGATTTTGAAACCCTGGGCTCAAGCAATTCTCCCACCTCGGCCTCCAGAAGTGCTAGGATTACAGGCATGAGCCACTGCACCTGGCCCTCAACTTTCTTAGGTTTACAGTTTGCTTGGTATATAATTTTCTAGCAATTTACTTTCACTCTATGTTTTCATATGTAAAGTATATGTCTTGGACACAGCATATGATTGGCCTTGCTTTTTACAAAAATCAATTCTGATAAAAATCTATTTTTTTAATTGCAGCATTTAGTTCATTAACATTTAATGTAATTATTAGGCCTATAATTTAAATATTTATTTTAGGTTTGTTTTATCTTACTTTGATTTTTTCTTTTGGAATTTTCTAGCCAACTTTTGGTTTTTTTCTTAATAGAGTTTATTTTAGAGCAGTTTAGGTTCACAGCAAAATTGAGTGGAAGATAGAGATTTCCTATATATTCTCCTCCCCTGCACATGCTTAGTCACCCCCATTACCAACACTGGATAACCCCATTATTACCACCCACTGAAGGTGTATATTTGTTATAACAATGAACCTATACCCACACATCATTATCAACCAGAGTCCACAGTTTACATTAGGGTTTACTCCTGGGTTGTACATTCTGTGGGCTTGGGGCAAATGTACAACGACATGTGTCCATCATTATAGTACTGTACAGAGCAGTTTTGCTGACCTAAAAATCCTCTTTACTTACTTATGCCTTCCTCCCCCATAATTTCTGGTAACCATGATCTTTTTACTATCTCCATGGTTTTGCCTTTTACAGGATGTCATACAGTTGGAACCACACAGTATGTAGACTATTCAGATTGACTTTTTTCACATAGTGATAAGCATTTCAGTTTCCTCTATGTTTTTTGTGGCTTGATAGCTCATTTCATTTCAGCACTGAATAATATTCTGTTGCCTACATGTAACACAGTTTATCTATTCACCTACCAAATGACATCTTGGTTTTTTCCAAGTTTTGGTGTTTATGAATAAAGTTGACATAAATATCTGTATGCAGGTTCTTTGTATTCTGGTTTTATATCCTGCAACCCTGCTAAAATAACTTCTTAGTTCTATTGGTTTTTTCATAAGTTCCATCAGATATTCTACATACACAGACAATCACATCATCTGTGAGCACACTTCTACTTTTTCCTTTCCAGTCTGGACACCTTGTATTCCTTTTTCTGGCTTGACTGTACTAGCTAGAACCTCCAGTACAATGTTAGATAGAAGTGGTAAGAGCAAATGTCTCTGTCTTGTTCCTGACCTTAGGAGAAATGTGTTCAGTCTTTCACTGTTAAGTAAGATATTAACTGTAGGCTTTTCTTAATGCCCTTTATCAGACTGAGTAAGTTTGCTGGAGTAATTATCGGTGGCAGATGCTGGATTTTATTTAATGCTTTTTCTGTGTCTATTGAGAGAATCATATGGTTTTCATTTTTAATTTATTGATATGGTGAGTTACATTAACCGACTTTCAAGTGTTAAATCAATCTTACATTCCTAGGATAAATCTCAATTGGTTATAATGCATTATCCTCTTAATACATTGCTGGTTTTAATTTGATAAAATTTTGTTAACTTGGCTGGGTGTTGTGGCTCATGCCTGTAATCTCAACACTTTGGGAGGCTGAGGTGGGAGAATCGCTTGAGCCCAGAGTTTTAGACCAACCTGGGCAACATAGCGAGACTCATCTCTACTAAAATTTTAAAATTTGCCAGGTATCATGGCACATGGCTATAGTCCCAGCTATTTGGGACACTGAAGCCGGAAGATTGCTTGAGCCCAGGAGTTCAAAGTTGCAGTGAGCTATGATCATGCTACTGCACTTCAGCCTGGGCAACAAAGCATGAGACCCTGTCTTAAAAAAAAATAGAGATGGAGGTCTCACTCTGTTGCCCAGGCTGTTCTCAAACTCCTGGCCTCAAGTGATCCTCCCACCTCACCTTCTCAAAGTGCTGGGATTATAAGCATGAGCAACCACGCCTGAGCCTCTTGTGCAGTTTTTTAGAGTAATACTAAAGGATATGAGGAAAACTTGGAATCATGGGATCATCAGGACTGATAATTTTAGCTCAATTAATTGGCCAGAGGGGATTTCAGAAACTTTTTTGTTTTTTCCTTTTTGGTAAAATGAAAGACAATTGGGTGGTTTACTGACAGAGAAGAATTAATCTGTCAAGAATAGTCCTAGAAAATAAATGAATGAGCTAGACCTCTTCATTTAATTTTTTAAAAATCCTCAAATTATATCTTGACTTAATTATAGATTTAGAATAAAATAAAATTTATTTTAAAAAATTGCTATGAATAAAACCACTTAAAATTGTTTTTTTAAATGTCATTTCAGTATTCTGAGCTCTCTTTTTTTTTTTGAGACGGAGTCTTGCTCTGTCACACAGAATGGAGTGCAGCGGCGCAATGTCAGCTCAATGTAACCTCCGCCTCCCAGGTTCAAGTGATTCTCGTTCCTCAGCCTCCTGAGTAGCTAGGATTACAGAAGTGCACCACCCCACCCAGCTAATTTTTGTGTGTCTATCTATCTATATAGATAGATATAGATATAGATATAGATATAATTTATTTATTTATTTTTAAGTAGAGATGTGGTTTCACCATGTTGGTCAGGTTGGTCTTGAACTCTGACCTTGTGATCTGCCTGCCTCAGCCTCCCAAAGTGCTGGGATTACAGGCGTGAGCCACAGCACCAGGCTGCTCTCATTTTTAAACTCAGTGAAAGTGTGAACAGCACTAGCCTTAACTTTTTGGTTAAAATATAGGGAAGTGGTCCTTTACTGAAAGTTTGCTCTGTTCTGCCTTTTGAGGATAAAAAGTTGTACCAAAGTAAGTTCATTACCTTTCTGCATTATGGAATTGCATTTAAGGTATAGATTGCAAACCAATAGGACTCACATCTCTTAAATATTTTTACGTTGAAGAAAAAAACTTCAAAATTAAGTGGACATTGTAAATACATATAAGATTCTTTTATTGTTAATTAAAAAGAAGTATGACACTGCCTTGGTAGAAACAACAGTGCATTTCAGTTGCTAACTCATTTGCCTATCTGAGCTAACACAAGGATAAAGGTATGAATTTTACTCTGTTTGGCCAATTAACTTCACAGGAAAACTCTGTTCCCTAGTCATTAATTGTATTGTCCTATCTAAACCCACTATTTCACTAAAACATCCTTTAGTCACAAAACATGAATAAAATTAATGATGAAGATAATCCAAGTTAACATTTGTTGAGTCTTTACTGTGTGCCTGGTAATGTGCCAAGCAGTTAACAAGCATTGTCATTTATTTCCCGCAACAACCCTTCAAGGTAAATACTATTACCAAACTTTCTCTAAAAATCATTTCCAGGCCAGGTGTTGTGGCTCACACTTGTTGTAATCCAGGCTGAAGCAGCAGAATCACTTGAGGCCAGGAGTTGGAGACCAGCCTGGACAACACAGCAAGACCCCACCTCTACAATTAAAAAAAAATAATAATCTGGGTGTGGTGGCATGCCCCCATAGTCCCAGCTACTTGGGAGGCTGAGGCAAGAGGATCACTTGAGCCCATGAGTTCAAGGTTGCAGTGAGCTATGATTGAACCACT